TTCCGATCATGTCTTAGCCGGTATGGACTTGGGTTTAACTGTTTCAGAGTGGTTGTTCTTTGCCGCTCATGTCTTTTTTGCTAGTAGGCATTGTTATTTAGAAGATTGTTGGGTGTTTGTGTTAGACTTTTGAGTTGTCTGATCTTATTATAAAATTTTTGTTGCAGCGAGTTTGCAGATCCTGTTGTTGCCGAGGCAACCTGTGAATTCTTAAATGCAAACAAGAAAAAACTTTTGACGTCTTTCCCGAGCTTACTCCCTCAGGTATAAAATGGAATGGACTAGCTGTTTGATCGCTGACCAAGCTTTAGCTTTGTTAATGGAGATGACCATGCCCAAAGATAATAGATCAAAACCGTTGCATGTTGTATCACAGATTATATTTGTTGTAAAATGTGTCATATTTTCCGAAAGATTAGATATTGTTTGGAACTTTTAAGTGCCTATTTAGAGAGATAGTGAATGGCATGTCTTGTCTTGCCGGTCTGTAGTTATGCAGTTCTAGCTATTCTACTTTGTATAGGCTTCCTTTAAACCCCATGTTCTTGTATGATCGACCATCAACAGATTTTAACAATGTGAGAAATGGAAATAGCGTAAGAATCTTCTCCAGCTAACACAAGCAATTCTATTTGCAGTTTTTTCCATTGTTGCTGAAGCTCATTGCATGGAACGGGGAGAAGTAAGCTAACAGATTCCCCCAAGATTCTTTTATTGAGTATATTTGTCCATAAGTCATCCAATCATTTAGTTGAAGGATATGTGCAAATTTTTGTGTGCTTCTTAATGCAGATTGGAGAAGTCCTTCCTAAAGATATTTCCAGGATTGATATCCCCTGGGTCATTTCTTCCTTTGTTTCCATCTATTATAGACTTGCCAAGTGAGTTTGCCTATGTAGACGTTGGCTTCTTGAGTTCTTAATTTACTTTTTAATTTTCACTGCTCTCTTTTGGGGCCCATGCTGCCTCCACCATTACAAGCTTAGTATTTTTTTGTTGTTGTAGCTCATGTAGAATCATCTCTCAAGTTGGTTATTTTTATGATGGTTTTTTCTTTTCGCATAATGTTTGTTGCTAGTTTTGGTTGTGGCATTGGAAAAAGTAGAACGGAGCTCGGGATCACTGGTTGGAGGTAGCATAGCTTCAATCCAAAAGAGTACTGCTCCAGAGGTCATGTAACTTTTAAAAACCATATAATCCAGATGACAGTTGTTTGATAGTCAATGAATGACATCATCCCCTTGAATGCAGATGCTTCTTGCTCTTATGGATGAAGCTTATACAGGTTCAACCATTGGGGACGGAGGGGGTGATTCTGAATCTGAAGATAATAACAGTTTAGATGTGGCTGATCCTCTGTTTCTCGAGCTGCTGAAAGATGAAAATGATGGTCTAGCTGTATGGTCCCGGTGCTTTTGCTGATTTCCCACTTTATCCAGGAATCAGGATTTACAATAAAAACACTGTCGCATCCAACTATTGTGAAATTTTTCATGGTTTTTTTAGAATTAATCCAAAACCAGTTTGAATACATTTGAGGACCTAGGCCTGGTTTTAGTTTTCTTTTTACCTTAGACAACTGAATGTTTAAGTTACTTTTGCACCGCAGGAGAGACATCGAGCATCTCCTGCCTTGACAGCAGCACTTCAAGCTGCTGTAAGTGGACCTCAGTCTGAGAAGATGAAGCAGACACTTCAGATTGTTCCTCGGCTTCTTGATGTTTACTTTGCTGTTGCATTACAAGATGCCAATGACTGTGAGTTAATCGATAACCTTCCTACTGTTAGTTTACTTGCTGAAGGAGGATAAGTTAACTACAAGTAATTCCTAGACGTTTAACTACTACCAAGTTCTCCGTGCTTCCTCTAGTACTTTTTCAGTTTATGTATGACGAGATTATCTTTTGGCAGCTCTGATCTGTGCACTGATCCCTCTACTCATGACAAGAAACTCGACAATGTTCCCAGAAAAGAAATTTTCTTATGAGGTGTCATCCACGACCCATCTTCTTTGTTGTACATATACCTTTCTTAATTATTTTTGCTGGAAAACCATTAAAACTTGGTCTTTTTGTCAACGTCCTTCAAATTTGAAACAATGAACAAGCATTACTGCAGCAACCAAACTCCATTTACAGTAGTAATCTATTTTATGTAGATTCGTAAGAGGCTACTGGAATTTATGCTAGCTGCATTTCAGAGATCTCCGGATTTTATCGCACTATTGAAGGTAACTTTATTTTATTTTATTTCTGGGTCGGTCCAAGTGGGCATCGCAGAGATTGATCATGTAGGAATCTAAAATTTAGCATGTTTAATTCTAGGCTGAAATTGATTCCGACTGTTACAATAACGCAGAAGCCTATAATTGACCGGCTTGCAGAAGCTTATGATGACCCTCCTAAGGTTAGTTTCGTAAAATCCATGTGTGTTGTTGAGTATCACATATTCACATGTTTACTTAGGAATAAACTTTTGTTCCATATAGACAGAGTTAGCCTTACAGCTGTGTTGGGCCATTGGAGAATATGGTGGTGGCGGTGAATCACACAAGGATGTAGCTCGTGAGCTGTTTGAGAATTTAGAGTTGCTTCTATATGAAAATCTCTCATCAAGGTACTACTTCCGTTGGTTATCAAATATGACCTTAGCGTTTATATGTGTTTAGTATATACTTTACTTTCGCTATTCTGCTCTGAAAAGTCGGATAGGGCTAAGGCAGGAGTCAGGGATTGGCTCGGGAAGTGATTTTAGAAGGGCTTTGCAGTCGAGGCTTTTGTGTTTTGTCATAACAGCAATTGCAAAACTTGCGACGTATCACAGGGAATTATTGCCTAGGGCTCGAGTAGCGCTAGGAAAGGTAAAATAAAAAATTTCTAGATTAAGCATTTTCACAGAGGTGGTTGATGGATCAGTGGTAATACTTATCACAATCTCATTGCGATGGAATCTGTTAGGTTGTGAGATCTCGAATATCGGATGCAAGGGTTTGGAGGCGAGCTCACGATTACTTGGGATTGATGAACGAACCGGGAATTTGCTGGTCAGTGTTGGGGCCTTCACGGGTTTCAGACAAACGGTTACCGGGCACTGTGAACTGGAGTGAAGGTGGCAGGAAAATGGTCGGACATGTCCCAATGTACATTCTAGGTGAACAACAAGGTAAACTAAAGAAAACTCCAAAATCGATCGATTGTTTTCATACGCGAAAAATGTAGTGATAAAAGTTTGTGTCGGATGCAATTTGCAGGTCCTCCGTTCCATGACTTGTCGTTCTCGGATATCCTTCCCCGAGATTCGGCCGGCAAAGCAAGTTTCTAGACCTTAGACCGTATTATATGTTATTTTTTTTTTTATAATCCGGAAGTTCATCGGGCCTTTGGCCCGACTACATCTCCCAGAGGACCGTATTATATGTTTTTGTTGTTGTGCTTGTGAATATATCACATCAATGTGTGAGGGGAAGATGTGGGGTTTTTGTGAAGGGCTAAAAATTTAGCAGTTGTGTTTAGAATTTGGTGTCGAGTTAATTAACATTTGTTGTTGGCTCTGAATATTTGGTGCTCTTTGGTGATTCGTGCATCCGAACCCAAGGGTTCGAGTGCCGCATTATATCTATGTATACATGCACGTATGTATGTATGTATGCATGTATATATGTACATATGCACGTATATATATATGTATGTATAGATGCATGTATGTATGTATGTATAGACGCATGTACGTATGTATATATGTATGTATGTACGTATGTATGTATGTATGATTAGTACTCTCCATATTTGCGATATTTTACGATAGGTCAATTATGATGATATATACGCGTATGTTTTCTGTTTAAGATTATTTCAATTAATGTTTTCAGTCGGAATGCATGCGAATTGATTATAGGAACACACAAACGACAACGACCCATGCAATAAATGATCTCCAATCCATGAGTTTAGATTCCGACCAAAGTGGTTTTCTCAACTGCAACAGCTGTATCCCATAGTTTCTTTGGGAATTTCACATTAGAAATATTGAATATGTGTGTATTATATATACATATGAGAATAATTAACTGCGTTGAAAATTCCCATTTAAAAGAAGAGACAAATTTCGAATCGGTTCATGAAACACATCTCTTTCCAGATATCGCTTTTGCACGAAGGGGAAAATTGGTCCTTCCGCCAAAACTGATGTGAATATTGTCTTGGATTTGGCATCTTATACGTAAATCTTTCATGTTAAAAAATGAGTTCTCTACATCATCATCTTCCTTTTTCCTTGTGTTCCATTCTTTTTTTAATATTCCTCCATATATATATATATCATTGGAATAAATTTTAATGCAAGAAAAGTTTTGAGGTCTATACCCTATTTCCAAGATTTTTTTTTTACTCGAGCTTTTTCCGAGGAATAAAGGAGGAAGGACCGAATAGGGCATCTCTAATATGGTAGTGCATGCGGAAAATAACTCGCGATTTGTCATCAACTGACGCGACGCGGAGGAACGTCACGAGTGAAAGGACTTAGACACGGATTTATTCTCGAATTTGTGGATCATATTGCAAATATTCTACTTTTTGGGGGGTTAGAATTTGGAATCTTTTCTTTGTTGATGGGCCAAAATGAAAAAACAATACCAACTTTTTTTCCGTGACCTCATGGCATTGGCAACTACGGTAGAGGACAATTTTCCTATCATATAATTCGATCTGTTTTTCACTTATGAATTTGATGGGAAGCCGAAAAGATGCCCTCTTTTGGACAAAGAACCAAAAACAAAGCCACACTGCAGTAACATGAAATAAATCTCAACATTAATGAATAAATAATAACAAACAACAATAACAAACCCAAAATTGGATGACTCAACTTGTAAAGAAGAACAGAGAAAATCTCTTTCCCAATTCGAATTCGAGTCCTCACTCGAAAAGAGACATTCACATGAAACTTTCAGACCAAAAACCCGGTAAACTTCCAAATTATAAAAAAAAAAAATGGTGTTAAAATGAGTTATGATAAAATCCAACAAAATAAAAAGCACATGTTGGGAAGACCTATATTAGGATCCATTCCCAACAACAAATAATTTTCCAGTTCCAACGATGTAGGGAAGACAAAAAAAAAATCAATAATTTAAGTTTGTTGAATGAAATGAAGGGGTAGTAGTAGTAGGGGCCATAAAAGGACTGTGAAGCTTTGAAAGCCCCACAACAAAAAAGACCAAAGTCAGTGTGAAATAACTCAGTAAGTCACCACTCAATACTCATTACAGACAGATGGGCTTCTGAGTCCTTTTGTGTCCTGTCCCCATCACTAACCACTAATTCTAGTATTCTTGTTTTTTTCACTGTTTTCTTGGCTCTCACTTTTGAAATCCCAAAAAAAAAAACTCATCAGGAAAAAGCTTTTTTACTGTGGTTTTTTACTCCCAATGAAAGATGAATTACACAGTAAAAGAAAGAACAAAATGATTTACTTGCCATTTGAGGTGTGTGGACATGGGTTTTTCTTTGATTCTGCTGTTGATGGTCTCAACTCAAAGGACAGACGATGGATTTTGCAAAACTCTCTCGTTTCGGTGACCATTAATGAGAGAGATGACGCAATGGAATCAAATCTGTAGGTCCCCTTCTCTTACTCTGTACTGTTCTCTCCCACTGTAGAAATTTAAACAAAAGAAACAAGTTGAAACTTGGTTACCTCTGTTAATTCTTCCTGGCAAAAAAAGAAAAACACGATGCAATCACAAAAAACAGAATCTTACAGGAGTAAAGATGATAAAGACTGTCACAGGAAAGTTATCAAAGGGGGTTCGATGGTATATAAGCATCTGCTCCGTGGTCCTGGACAGATTGTATGTTCATGTCAACAACTTAAAAATACCAAAATCTCAAGCACAATGCCGTAAAACGATTTTTTTTCTTGTAATCCCAAGTCAACTTTAAACGTCTTCTCCATTCGAGTTTACAACACATGACCAAAGGTTACAAGCAGAGGAATCCGACAATCACATCAACAAAGGATCCTGCCATTTATTAGAAGGACCTTTGTTTGTTTCTATGAGGAAAAAGTTAGATGAGACCATGTGTAGATTGGGATCCTAGTTCTTCCTTGTCCTATATGACTACAGTGGCAGATCAATAAGGACTCTCCATTGTTACCACCAAGGACATTGATGCTATCTTCAACACCAAGGGTACCCAATTTTTATCAAGATTTAAAACTCAAACCCACATGTTAAATCAGAAATCCGGTCTAAGCATTAGATATAATACACCTCTTAAGCTTCTTAAAGCCAACTAGGCCCAAATCCATATCCCTTTACGCTCTCTCTCTCTCTCTCTACAACATCATATTCCACTAGACAGAAGCATACAAGAACACTGTGGTCCATCCTCCCTGGCTTTTCTTCACCTTTTAAACACTTAAAATCTTACATTCCACTCTTCAATATCACCCAGACCCCTCACTCCACATTGCTAGCATACCAGAGTTCTAACCCCCCACCATCATCTCCCTAAAACAGTAAAACTACAACTTGAATCATATGCAGAAAATGGAGAGCAAAAGAAGACCAGGGCAGGGTTACTTGAAAGACAAGGCTACCTCATCTCACCCTGTCGAAGAAGAAACGGAGAAAGAACTGGAGGAAGAAGAGGAAGTTGGAGGGGAGGAAGAGAAGAAGAAGAAAGTGATGGAGAGGGTGAGAGGGTCTAGTGGCAGTAGCAGCGATCGTGTTTCCTCGCGGTTGTGCCAGGTAGAGAAATGCACTGCTGATTTGATGGAGGCCAAGCAGTACCACCGCCGGCACAAAGTGTGTGAAGTTCATGCCAAGGCAACTGCAGCCATGGTTGCTGGTGTCAGGCAACGTTTTTGCCAACAATGCAGCAGGTAGGTTCAACTTTATGTTACTTACACTCAAGTTTCCTTGAGCTTATCACCAAAAGAATGGTATGAACTTTAATGATTTTGGAGATTGAGCAGGTTTCATGAGCTTCTAGAGTTTGATGAAGCCAAAAGAAGTTGCCGGAGGCGCTTAGCTGGACATAATGAGCGGCGAAGGAAGAGCTCCGGTGATAGTTTCGGAGAAGGGTCAGGTCGGAGAGGTGTTAGTGGTCAACTCATGCAGACTCAAGAAAGAAACAGGGTAGAGATGACACTTCCCATGTCAAACCCATCATTCAAGCGATCACAGATTAGATAGAAGCTGTCTGCTCTCTCTCTTCTGTCGTCACCATAAGTTTTATCTACAATCTCTTAGCGTTCAGTGGTGGTATCTAAACTATGTCAATCATATCTAGAAAACAACTAAGAGCTTCTAAGTATTGTCTGTGATATCCTATGATGGAAGCCTACCAACAAAAGTAAGGACTCATGTAGCCTTGAGCCCATGTGCCTAGTGGTTCTGTATGTTTGAAGAAATGGATAATGATGTGTATTGCTCTTGACTAGATACTTGTGTGTGATGCTAATTGAAAAAGGCTTTGCATACAGATTCAAGTAAGGAGTCTGACTCGGCCAAAAGTTCAGGAGACTAACCGAAAGTCAAGGTCACTGAAATTTCACAATGATGACTGAGATGTCGTCTCCGCTTTTCCTTACAACAGCCTCCTCTCTGTAAGATGCTTTGCTGCATCTTTTATGTCCTTTATCAAGTCAGACAGCTTCTTGGTTAGACATGACCTAGGAGATTACAAACTTTCAATAAATACGGAGGATGCAAGAAAATTTGTTGAAAGTTGATTGAGATAGAACCAACCTTCCACAGTCCATCTCCATCCCTTGCTAGGATAAGAAAGTCTGCATCCTCATCAATCATCTCTGCCGGAACATCAGGTTCTGAGCTCAAATGTATCTTTATACTCTTGTCACCAAATGTCCATGCCACAATGAAACATCCCCTGATTTGGTTCAACAAATACAAGTGATCTAAGCTTGAGTCTGAATTTTAGAGAACCAACAAAACTTTACAGCACAGGCAACAGATGTAAACATTGTCATAAAATAAATTCTAGCGAAACTGATTAAACCTATCTCGTGGAACACAAGAAACCAAATACGAGAAGAGCATCTGCTTGAATGCAATCGAATTTCTTACCAAGAAAGTTGGAAATGAATCCACCTCTATTCTCAATTCCCTCCTTCATTTCAACCAAAAAAAAAAATTCCCTCCTTCACCATATTTGGTTCATGATCAACTGAGAGTTTCTTCGCAACACCATTCTTGCAAAGAACAGCACGAAAGTCCGCAGTATTGGCCCTACTAACTTCTGGGAGTTGATTAATATCGACGTATCTGTATACTATAGGAGTTCTTCATCACTTTCTCGGGCTCCTCCCAGAAATTGGGCTCTTTCAAGATGTTTTTCAAATAGATGGGAGCACAAGTAGTCAGGAATCTCTCAAATGGACCGTCATGTATCGCAAACAGCCCGAGCACATTGTCACCAACTTCCTTGAATTTGGCGAGAGAGTAACCTTCTATCTCGTGATAACAAGAGATAACCATGGGTTATGTCCTTCGACATCTTTTTTTTTTTTTTAATAGATTGGGAACCGCTGTGACTAACTACCCTTACAAACGGAGACGAACTGGCCACCACCCGCGCCTAACAGTCCCCATGGACCTCAGTCCGCCGGACCTGGCCACCAGGCGCGCCTAACGCTCGGGCCGTAGTTGGGCTTAGGCGCCTGCAGGTCAAACCCCAAGCCCACGCACACGAGCCTGCGACACACACGTGGGAGGTAAATCAGCCCGTTATGACAGGCTGGCAGGCGAGCAGGTCAGATGGAAAAAGGAGCGGCGGGAGGAATCGATCCCCCACCTCAAAGAGTTGCCCCTGCCTTCTGCCACTTGACCTGGCCCCGAAGGGCTCCTTCGACATCTTACTCTTCCCTTTACCTGGATCTGCAGAAGCAGATGAACCGCGCCCAACTTTCCTCTGCGCACAGCAAAAAATCCAGACAAACCGATTCAGAACATCACACCAAACAAAAAAAAAAATCCTTCCAGACCGTTATTCCAGTGTTAACACATTCAAACAACAACACACATTCTCGGAACCCTAGACACAGAGGATGCAAATCAGAGGCCTCTCGGAAGAAGCAAACAATAGAGACCAACCAATTGTGCTGCCCATCATTTGGTTCCTCTTCGTCGAAATCTCCTATCCACAACCGAAATTGACGCCAAGTAAATCACAAATCGACCACAACTAATACACAAACGCACTTCACAGCTCCGTTGCAGCAAAACCCAGATTCGAAAATCCGTTTGCTGAGAAAACGTAGCTCGTTGAATTATACAAAAATGAACCGATTCGCAACAACAAACGATTTAAAAAAAAAAAGGCAAACGGAGCATCGATTCGAGCGAGAGAGAGAGAGACCAAGAGACCGGATTAATCGTGCCTTGACAGTTATCTTCATCTTGTGGAGAATCTCTGAGCCGGCCATGGCTCGGTCGAAGACGAAACAAAGAATCCAAAAAAGATCACTTCAGGGGTGATAAACGTGCAAAGACAGTCTCACAGTCCTAGAGAGAGAGAGAGAGAGATGACGCGAAGGCGTAGCTCTGAACGTCTTCCCGCCACCTATAATTCGATTTTCGTTTTACAAAAGAAAAAGAAATTGAAATTCAATTATTTTTTTTAGAAGATAATATTTATGTATTTTAACAACTGGAAAAACTAATTTTCAAAGACTTTTTAAAGACTATTTATGTATTTGAAATATGTATTTTAGTCCGATTCAATTTAAATTTATTTGTAAAAAAATTGTATTTAAATAATTAAATTAGAATAAATATTTTTCTAATAATCTTTTAAAAATATTATACCTGCTATATATAATTTTGTTTGGATTAATATACTCTCTGCTCCAATAATCAAAGTAAAAGTGAACATAAATGATTATTTCACAGATAAATTTATATCTTTGGCAGTGGCAGGTATTGGATTATGTTATGAACATACAATATGGGCCGAGAGAAAGCCCAAAAATTGGATGGGCTTTCTTCAATACTTTTTTTTTCAATTGTGTATAGTTTTTGTCGTGTACTGTAAAGAAAGATATATATATATATAAAAATGTTATAGTACGTTTGGTCATTTGTGGCACGAACATTATAGTACGTTTAAATTCGGGCTAATAATTTATGTACCTCTTTACTATATAATAATATTTATTACTGCCTTTATTATATTGCAGGGATAAAATCTTGTTGAAAAAATATTATATTTTGGGCTTGATTCAATATGTAGTAATAATATTGTTTACATGTTTATAAATGTGCATTAATAGTTACTTTTATCGTTATATTTCAACTTAAAGTTGCGATGATTGACGCGGATAATCCAATTTTTGTGAATAATCCATTTCAAGACTCGAAGCAAAAAGAAAATTCTAATGATTCCTAACTTTTTATTTCAAAATCAATTTTATACTAAAAATATATACGAATGTCTAATAATTTATTGTGATACCATGTCAAGATTTATTAAAAATAAACAAATTTATTGTATTATTTATTGGAAAAATCCTAAAAAAATACTGAATTTTTCAATTTTGACAAAAAAACCACTGAATTTTATTTTTTTATCAAATAAACATTAAACTTTTTAAACGAATCTAAAAAATACTGAATTTTTTAAGTGATCCAAAAAATACATGAACTTTTCTTCGATTATAAAAAAAAATACTGAACTTTTTTAGTGATCCAAAAAAATACATGAACTTTTTTCGATTGTAAAAAAAACTAAGAAAAATAATCTGACGTGTTTGCATATAATTGTGTCACGTCAATCATTTTTTTTTATTTTGATAATCGTTAAAGAGTTAACTGTTTATTTTGTCAAACTTAAAAAATTTAATGTTTATTTGATAAAATAAAAAATTCAGTGTTTTTTTGTCAAAATTTAAAAGTTGAGTGTTTTTTTTTTTCCTTATTTATTTAACCAAATAACATATATATATATATATATATAAATATATAGAGTAAACTTAGAAAACTAAAAAGAAAAATATATATATATGATGAAAGTATATATATATATATATAGTGATATATATATTCAGATAAAGATTCGTATATATTTCTAATAAATTTCTATGTAATTCATACATTATTTTTATTTGACAAGATTATGTGTATTTAATTGCGAGAATTACACACTAAAACGTCCATTCAAAATCAGTCAAAATTGCTTATCGAATCAATAGCATTAACCCGACATAACTAATCAAACATTTTATAAAATTAAACGAAAAAAAAGGATTAATGTAGAGGTTAATGATGGATAGATGGGTCCCATACACAAATGGTAGACAAAAGCCAATGTATGATCTCTTTGTGTCTTCAATGTCTCATTATCATCCCTAGAGTGTTTTTTGTTTATACACTTTCTTCTTCTCATTTGGTCAAAGCTTCTATTTGTTGAACGCTAATCATTGTCACTTAGGCTTTGGATTCTTTAAAAAAAAAATCAATTAGATGTTAAATCTAAAATTTGGGAGGTCCAAATTATATGTAACTAAATGTTAGATTGCATTGCAACTAAATATTTCTGATTGTGGCAAAAATTCAAATCAAGTTTAAGCGTGTGTATATATATATATTATCTTTTTTTCTTTAAAATATAAAATTATTAGCATTGAACTGTCTATTTCATTGATTAAAATTTTATTTATTTATTTACATAGTATGATCGGTAGACGATAAGAACCAAATAGTAATAATTTAGTAGTGTTTAGTCGTGTTAGTTTATATAATGGTTCGAACTGTTATTGGAACTAAATTTAATTAACAAATCTTCTGATGATTACTAAAATAGTTATATTATATTTTAGATTCAGAAATTATTTAGACCGCAAGGTTGGAATATTTTGTTATAAAAAAATAATAGAGTGCAAGTGAAATGTGTCCAAATATAAACCATTTAGATTCAGGTCCATATATAATATAATACAGACCTACGTAGATAATTAAATCACAAAAATATATTAGAGAATCCTTTTCTTCTTTTCTTTTATTTTCTTTTTTTCCATCTTTTTTCATAATTAATTAATTATTACTAATCTTTGGAAAACCCGCTATAATTGCTTTCCGACAGAGTATTTTTGGGAGACTGTGTCCTTTTTTTAGGAGAAACCTCAAACAGCATGTGAGCCCAAGAGGACAGAAAGAAATTCATCAAAGAATTTAAAAAATATATTATTTATTAAAACATGATAATAAATTAATAATACATATTTATTTTTCATATTTAAGGTGACAAGAGTGTCTCTATATGTGCTTGTACGTCCGATTTTTGGATGGAATAAAAAACATAATTATAGATGTTATATATTCTTACAGATTTTTTAATCTCTGACATGGACCAACAGAATATACTTTCAGTTTAGCAGAATTATTGTTGTGCTGTAAACATTTTGAGGTAAAAAAATATTCATGAGAATTATATAAATAATTATATTTAATGCAAGGATCGTTATATAAAGAATTAGGTAAAATAACATTTTCCTACACGAATTTATCAAAATGTGACATTTTCTTACACGAATTTTTAATTTGACAAATGTCTACACCCAATTAACAAATTTTCCAAATACTTATACGAATTATCCAATTTTAGTGCAATTAACTACACCATCCGAAATTATCAATTAATTGCTGACGTGGAAGGCCATGTGGCGTCCACGTGGCATGCCACGTGAGATTTTTTGCCATGTCAGTGCGAATTAAAAAATAAAAATAAAAAATAAAAATATATTTGTATGTATGCATATATATATTTGTATAAAATTTAAATTTATACAATATATATATTTTAAAATTTATAAAAAAATTTAAATTTATATACATACAAATATATAAATATATATATGTACATTCATATATATATATATAAATACAAATATAAACATATATATATACATATACATATACATATAAATACATACAAATATATTCATATATATGTATGTGTGTATATATAAATATATTTGTATGTATATATATTATATATATTTGTATAAAATTCCAATTTATACAATATATACTTTTTAAAATCTATACGAAATTTAAATTTATATACATACAAATATATAAATACATATATATGTTTATATATATATTTTTTATTTTTTATTTTTAGGAAAATTTTTATTTTTATTTTTTTAATTCGCGCTGACATGGCAAAAAATCTCACGTGGCATGCCACGTGAGCCACCACATGGCCTTCCACGTCAGCAATTAATTGATAATTTCGGATAGTGTAGTTAATTGCACTAAAATTGGATAATTCGTGTAGGTATTTGAGAAATTTGTTCATTGGGTATAGATATTTGTAAAATTAAAATTCGTGTAAGAAAATGTCACATTTTGATAAATTCGTGTAGGAAAATGCCATTTTACCAAAGAATTATAATATCAGGATCATTGGGGTTCCACAAGATCATTACACAAACACCATCGCTTCGGCCCCACACTTGAATTCAAAAGCTGAGCTGGCAAGTCTTTGACTTCCACACCCATTTTGCCACGTGTCCACCTTGAATCCCCCCATCTATACAGACGCACCCAAAGTACTACAGTATGCGACACACCCATATCACACATTCATGGAGGCCCGCCTGAAATTCCAAAACGCCGGCGAGACAAATAAAACCGACGATGGCAGGGAGGATCACCGGAAATTCCGAAACACCGGCGAGACAAAGAACCCCGACGATGACCCCAAGGATCACCGGAAAATCCAAAACTCCGGCGAGACGAAGAAGAACCCCGACGATTACCGGGATTTCGAATTTGGGTCGTTGACTCCGTCGTTACACTCGCGAGACGTGTTCTCGGAGAACTCTCCGGCCGGCGGATCACTTCTTCAACGGTCGTCTATTGCCACACTCTTTTCCGACACCAAGAACTGTCCGTACGACGAGCGAAGACTCTTCGCGAAGCAACAGCACGGACAGGCGAAGCAGAAGTTGCAGCCCAAGCAACAACATGATCATGATGAGATCCAATAACAGGCCACAACTAGAATCAAACCCGGTGACGACCAGTGGCAAAACCGTAAATAAGACGAACAAAGGCATTAGCTCGGCGGCGGCGAAAGGCAAGAGGAGGAATAAGGCGACGGAGATGGTGAGGACGCAGCTGTACGGTTATTCGTACTCGCAGCGGTGGCAGTATATAACGCCAGTTCCCGGGGCTACGCTTAAGAGGGAAGGGTGGTCGGTGAAGAGATGCAGAGGCGGCGGCGGCGGCCGTAGAGCGGCGTGTTGAATTTTCCGCCTAACGAAGCCAAGGCAGCCGCAAGGCGGCGATGTAAATTTCCTCTGTAGGCCCCACCTGTTTTTTTGTTTTGTTAGACAAGACTTGCCTATAAAAACGGAGGCTTCGCGGAGGGGGAGAAGCACGCAGAGCAAGCAGAAGCAGAAGCAAAGTGAGAGAAAAAAAAAGGGAGAGTGAAAAAAAAGAGTGGAAAAATATTGTGGGTATTCGGGGAGAGATTCGATCAGAAAAATATTTTTCTGATCGATCTAAAATTGTGAGAAGAGTTTCT